ATTAATTCTTCAAAAAGCAAAGAAAACTTCCCTTATTATCTTTAAAATTCTAGAAACCCAGGATAACAGAATGATTTAATTCTTGGCTAGACTTTCTGTCCTCTTAACAATGCAGATAACTTTATTCTGATTTCTCCAACCATGGAGGAAAAGGCTTCTCCTGAGTAGTCTTTGATGCTTATTAGAAATATCCTTTTTCACCATGTGCCGTCCAGCCCTAGTTAATTAATTACCTTACCAAAGCGTTGATTTGGAAGGACCTATCTCAAGATTAACCAGAGAGGCATTTTTCACTAGTAGATGTTTATATTATGTAATGTTTACATTCCTTGTGGGGAATCGGTGCATAATAAATTTTAATTCTTGCTTTCATCCTATTTCCCTTCCCTCCCCCTTACACTCATCTCTTGATCCTCTTCAATTTTTTTTTTCTTCTTTTGTACATGCTTACAATACTTAATGTTTACATTCCTCTGGTAGAATTGGTGCACGTACATAACACATTCCTTTTGATAGTCTAAGGTTTGGTAGAGGGTTAAAAAAATGGATTAACTGCGTATTTTCAACAGAAAATTCTGAATTAAGGCACTGTTCATTCCTTCAACAACCACTCATTAGATGTTTGTTGTGTGCCATGCGTGGTATAGCCATAAAAACAACACAAAAATCCCTGTCTCAATAAGAACATCAGCCCAGCAGGGGCAATGGACCGTAAGGGGCAGAGAATAATTTTATGGAGAATAGAAAGCCATGTCCATACAGAGACTGGGGAGGAAAAGGGAACGTTACATAGTGCAACCAGAGAGTCACCCATGAAGAGGTAACATTTGAGGTGATGCCTGACCTGTAAGCAACACACAACCCTATCAGATCTGGGAACAGTTCCAGGCAAAAGGCAAAGTCAGTACACAGCTTCTGAGGTGGTAATGGATTTAAAGATGAAACTAAATGAAATACCTGCAACAAAAATACAATTTTTCATTTATTGTTGTTATTGCTATTGTTGTTGATGTTTCTGCAATTCTGGGGACCAAGCATAGAACCTTGCATAAAAATAAATCTTTTAAAAGAAGGGGGTTATCAAGAAAACTTTTTTCTTAGCCTATAAAGGTAGCTTGAAACATTTACAGCGAAAAGTTGTTAGCCAAAAACTTGAATTGTAGAACAAAAGGGGCCCTTTAGGTACTTTATCCCAAGAAAATGAGACTTAAGAAGTACTACCTCCAACTCACAAAGGAGTCAAATCCAAAGCTGAATGTGGACTAGTCATAACTAGACAAGATTGGTTGCAAGGAGCTGTGAAGGCAGAAGGTGTCCTTCAGCTAATTTGCAAGCAAAACACAATAGCAGCCAGGAAATGAATGACTTTGCCTGGGGCTTCCCATGCCTTGCAGGAGGGGAACATTCTAAGCAATAAACATCCTGGGATGTGGGGAAGAGATATTGTTATCATCCTGTCAAAAAGCAGAAAGAGTGTCCCACTTGGGACATCCCAATGTGCATTGCGACTTGCTGGACCTCGTGGCTGTGTGCAGATGAGCTGGAACAGGAACTCCCAGATGCACAATTACAGGGTTCTTCGCTCTTTTCCTTCCTGTTACTGCACTTTTCCTGTCCCTGTTTTTTTTTTTTTTTTCTCAATGAAAAGTGATGTCAAAGGGAAGAGGAACTGCTGTTACACCAACTGGGGTGACTATTGGGTGACTAAACCAGACTTGTAATTGGAGTCACACACAACATGTGACAAGAAAAGTATGCTGGACTTTCCCTTCGTTAATCTGAGCACTTGGCAAGTGGTCACAAATTCTAAGGGTTAGGATGGCAGCCAGAGCTTATCTATCCAGTCACCTTGTGAGAAGGGTCGTCTTGTCGCAGAACCTTATTTTCCTCCATTTAAACAGGGAGCAAGCTACATAAAAGGGTGCAGAGCCTCTCCAGTGCTAATGTAGGGTTAAAAATGTGTGGGTGCGTTGTGCATTAAAAAGGACACTACCAAGAGAGCAAAGAGACAGCCTGCAGCGTGGGAGAAAGTACCGCAGTCACGCAGATAACAAAGGTCTAATATTCAAGATACATGAAGAATCCTTACACATCAACAACCAAAAGACAAGCCAATTTTTAAAAGGGCAAAGAACTTGAGTAGACATTTGTTTAAAGAAGAAATACAGAAAACAACCACAAAAAAGATATTCATTAGTCATTCAGGAAATGAAAATCAAACTCACAGTGAGACACCATTTCACACCCGTTGGAGTGGGTTTTTTTTTTAAAGAAACAGAAAGTGGCACTAATTATGTGCACATGGAAAAAGTGAAACCTTCTTTCCTAATTATTGATATGTAAAATGATGCGGTACCTGTGGAGAATGCTTTGGCGGGGTCTCAAGCCTTCTCACAAGGTTCCTAAGTAGAGAAGCTCTGGTTGCCATTCTAAACCTTAGAATCCGTGACCACTTGTCAAAATCCTCAAATAGCATGAGATTAATGTATGAATCAGTCATTCCTTTCCTAGGTATACACCCTAAAGAGACACAAATAAAGAACTAGTTTACTAATGTTCGAACCAGCACTATTCACAATAGCTAAAAGTGAGGCTAACCCAGATGTCCATCACCTGATGAATGGGCAGACAAAGGGTGGTATATCCATACAATGGAATAGTATTCAGCCTTAAAAAGAAGTTACTGATACATATTATAATATGGCTGAACCTTATAAACATTCTAACTACAGACACAAGAAGTCACATATGATATGATCCCATTTTTAGGACATATTTAGAACAGGGAAATTCACAGATACAGAAAGCTTATTAATACTTATTAATACTCTAAGGATGCAGGGGGGGCGGTAAGATACAACTGTTTCATTGGCATAAAATTTCCTTTTTTAGGTAATAAAAACGCTTTAGAACTAACTAAAGGCTATGAATATAGCAAATACTACTAAGTTGTACCTTTTTAAGTGGTTAATTCCATTACATGAATTTTATCAGAACTTAAAAATATTGTAGGGTAGCAGGTGGAAACCATCTGAAATTCCTACTTGAATCAGAAGAGCTAGTCAGCAAGAGAAAACTGGGGAAGATATTTCAGTTGATAAGTCCTTCAATGTCTCCTGCAAATCAAATCTTTTTCCAGAGTAGGGAAGGGCCTTTTGTTCTCATGGAAGTGTGTGCTTGAAATCTGTAAATCACTCCCTTGTTTGTAATGAAGTGATTGTATTTGTCCCATTCCTGGAAAAGAACTTAAAACTTTCCAGAAGTTAAGCTGAGGTTTCATGATATCCAGTCTTCTGAGTTAATCTACAGGGGTGCAGGTTAGAGAATCTGGGAAGTCAGTGGCTCTGGAGCCACTAGACCAGTCAGCACTGATGCCAGGTGCCCCCTTTTCTCCCACTGGGTGACCTACCAGGCTGTTCACCCTGCTTGCACTCCCATCAGCTCCACACCATCATCGCTGAATGGAAACGGTGCGTTATATGATGAAGACACCCTGAAGTCTCATGTTAAAATGAAATTTTGCCATCTGGAAGAAAGGACAAAACTGATCCTTATGGTGGCCAAGGTGGGTGGAGGGGAGGAGCTTTTCATGTGCAGGCGAGATTGGGGCAGAGGGCAGGAGCTTAGATGGTAAGATCCTGGCAGCTCATGACAGCGTCCCAGCCAGAGAGAAGGGGCAAGCGTGGAGTGGACTTCTCCTCGCCGTGTCACAATTTTCCCTGGGGCGGTGCCCTGCTTCCCAGCCTGGGCTAGAGGGTCTGGCCTTGTGTCCAATGTGACTGGCTGGAGAGTGACTTTGCCCCAGAAGTCTTACTTCATCCTACAAATCTAGGTACGGCTGAATTGCAAAAATCCTAGTTATCAGAATCCTCCTAGGTCGTCACAATAGCACACCTGCTACTGTGTAACATAGCACCTGAAGACCTTGCTTTTGTTTTTGTTTTGACATCTTTTTCAAACACCCAAGCCTGGTGTAGTCAACGCTCACCTGAGCTGCGAGCGTCCTCCTCAAACCTGAAAGCAATGAGGCAACACCAGCTGAAAAGATTTCAGCAAGGGCATCGCCCCGGGATCTGCTCCAGAGTTAGCTCTTTCCACTAGAGTAGTTTGAAGCAGCACTTCAGTAGAAATTACAAGAGGAGTGGAGGTGGGAAAAGCCTTTATCGCTTTAGCCCCTTGAGTTCTTTTCCTGGAGCAAAACTTCAGTGCCCAGCACATGCAGGGCTCCTTCTCCAGCACCCTTTCTGTGTCCTTCCAACATTCCTCACTGGGTAAATGACTCCTGGGGCTCCCTAGAGGAGAGCATTGACCGTAGCAGTGTTGATTTCAGACAGTCTAAAAAGAGCACAGGGTGAGGCCTAGCTGGCCAGCAGGAAGTATGTTTCATGCAAAATGACTGATTTCTAAAACCTGTGATGTCACCTCTCGGGAAGCCTCCCCACTGGTTTATAAGTGGGGAACCCAGCAGAAAGGGTCCTCCTGAGTCCTGGTGTGCCCCACAGGGGAAGCTGTCTGCAGCAGTTGGCTCTAGCAGCGCCTGTGGGGCCCAGAAGACTTTCTAGGCTCTGTGGCCCCAAAACAAAAGGGCAGCAGGGTTTTTTTTTCAAAGTTGTCTGGGAAATAATTAACGTATTTCCTTTGATTCTTTCTGCATTGTATGAGGACAGTCAAGTGGCAAGGGAGGAGAACATGTTCTATTATTATTTTCTCTCTTTTTTTTTTTTTGTACTGGAAGTCAAACTTGGGACCTTGTACTCTCTAGGCAGGCACTCGTGCCACTGAGCTGTAATGCTGTCCCTATCTTTTTTAAACATTGGTAAGGTAAAGAGTGGAACAAATTCTAAAAAGCCCTGCTCTCTTAGAAGAGTTGGAGGGTGTGTGTGTGTGTGTGTGTGTGTGTGTGTGTGTGTGCGTGTGCGTGTATGTGTTTCTGTTAACTGAACTATTAAGAGTGACCACTTCCTCTAACTTCTCTCTCTCTCTCTCTCCCTCTCTTAAAGGTCTGAGCTTCCTGCTACTATTCACAAAGATGCTTTTTATCTTTAACTTCTTGTTTTCCCCACTTCCGACCCCGGCACTGGTCTGCCTGCTGACATTTGGAGCTGCTGTCTTCCTGTGGTTAATCAACAGACCTCAGCCAGTCTTGCCTCCCATTGACCTGAACAAGCAGTCTGTGGGGATTGAGGTAATTTTCCAGTCATCTTTACAGCTTCTCAACCTTTACTGAACACAAACTTTTTGACCCAGAGGGAGTCTGTAAAAACCAAGGGGATCCCGGGTGGTATGAGAAAGTAGCCCTTTTAGGTTACTGATGCATGAATAAATCTATAAATTTAAAGTTCTATTATTAACACATTTTCCTTTATAACAAAATGAAATCGCAGGATACCAGCAATCTAGATCAGGAATCAGCAAATTGCAGTCCTTGGACAAACCCTACCTTCTTTTGAGCAAGTTGCAAACCTAGGATAGTTTTCACATTTTTTAAAGTACAAAAATTTAAAGTTGGAGAAGAGGACTATATTTGTTCCACAAAGCCTGAAATATGCTAGCCTAAACTATGTAGCTGTTTAGAGCAAAATTTTGCCAGCACCTTCTTTAGGAGTAAGAAAACATTTTTATAGAAATAGCCCAGTGTTGAAGAATAAGAAAAGTCATTGCCTTGAGTTCAAATCTACCTTTGAATTAATATCCCTCCTTCTCAGGAATGGAACTGGTTTCATTTCCCTGGCTGTCGGTAAGACATAGCTCCCGCCTGCATCTCTTGAAAGTTCTAGTGGTGTTCTTTTCTTATGTTCGATAAATAGCATCATCATTTTCACCTGATACCCTTTTTGGAGAAAAAATAATCCTGTTTCTTTGCTGGCCCCATCTATTCTTTGTACAATCTTCTTTATCTACTGAGGCTCTAACTTTCAGGTATCTCCACTAACTACACGACACATTGGTGTATTTCCATGCTCACTGCCACCTTCCTATCCTGCTGCTTCAGGCCACCCTGACCTTCCAATCCTCCCCTTTCTCATTCGAGATGTTTCGGAGTTACCTGTTTATCGATTTCATCTTCTGAACTTGCTCTCGTCAGAGCTGCCTTTGGATCATTCCTATCATCTCTGAAATGCTCTGGGTCCTTTCTAACTTACTTGCTTAATTCAGTGACAGCTCCTCCAGCCTCCTTCTTGCCTGACTTTAGAATTCTTTCTTGAAACTCCTCCATGCACCTTTTATAACATCCTCCAATGAGGAACCTTTCTTGTCTCAGTGAATTCTGTGTTTATCACTCTGATACTTTCCTTACATCGATGGGGTTTTTTTTGTTTTTTCTTTTTTTTTCCTCCATACTGCTAAAATTTTGCTAACACAGAGACAACAAACACAATGTGAAAGGGCCAGGCAGTAAGTACTTCAGGTTTTATAGGCTGTATAGCTTCTTTTGGAATTATTTAAATTGCTATTATAGAGTGAAAGTACCAGACAACATGCAGGGGAATGAGCATGATTATGTTTCAGTAAAACTTTATTTTTTATTTATAAAAGCAGTTGGCAGATTCAGCCCATTGACTGCAGTCTGACAATTCTTGTTCTGATCTTCATGGCTGACAAAACATCTCGGTTCCTACCTCCTGACCATGTATCTGAAGGTTATGGTACCCAATCCTGACTTGATAATTCTGATCTCAGCAATGCTCAAGTAATCAGGCCCTGAATATTTCTTCACTCCTTTTAATTTTAGAAAGGTGCCTTACTAAGTCACCCAGGAGGGCAACAACCTTGAGATGCTTCCTGAACTTTTGGAGAAGCAGTGACTATGGATGTGCCCCAGGGCACCTGGCTCTGCCTTTCTCTCTTCTGTGTCTCTCTGTCTTGGCCTCTGTCTCTGTTTTTGTCTGTTCTGTCTCTCTGGCTCTGTATCTCCCTGTCTCTCTCTCTCTCTTTCTCTCTTTCTCTCTTGTGCGGTACTGAGAATTTAACCCAGGGCCTTCATACTCAGCTAGAGCCCCAGACATACACTTATTTAGTTAGTTATTCAGTTTTGAGACAAGGTCTTGCTATGTCCCTCCAGATGGGACTCCAACTTGCAATTATCCTGTCTCACCCTCTTGCAGTTATCCTGTCTGACTCTCAGAGTGCTGGGATTACAGGTATGCACCACCATATCTGCTGCTGTTCCTCCTCCTTCACCTCCTCCGCTTCCTCCTCCTCCTCCTTTTCCTCTTCTTCTTCATCTGCATCTTCAGCTGTGTCTTCTTTGTCTTTGTCTTTGTCTTTGTCTTTGTCTTTGTCTTTGTCTTTGTCTTCTCCTCCTCCTCCTTGGCCATGAAATTTACTTTGGGTACCTTGCCTTAATCTCATGAACTCTTCCCCCAGTGTTTCAGGCTGAGTCAGACTCCCTCTTGCAGCCCTCATGTGTTACTCTGTACTTTAACAATCCTTGTCTTGATCAGTAACTTACATCTTTAGCACTTATCCAATCGATGCCTATTCTTCGCTACACTAACTTTCATGAGGGTTGGGCCTTACTGTGGCTTCAGGTGTGACGGCAGGACCCTCTCCCTGGGCTTGGTCCTCTAGCTCCAGATGAGGTCTTGCTGCTTCTCTTCTCTACCTCTGTCTTCTCTGGCTTCCTACAGATGACTTCTTGCTCTCATGGCTTTGTTTAGAGTATTCCTTCACTCTAGATGATTTTTCCTTTTTTCTCTCCTCTATTTTAGTCAAACCACATGTATTTAATCAATGCTGACTTATCTTAAATGCTCTGTTAAAATATATTTTTCTCTGTGACCTTTTTTCCCCGTACATTCCCTCCTTAGCTGTGCGTCTGTTTTAGCACAGCGGGTACACCACCTTATCCCCACATCTTTACCATCTCCCCTGTTCCCAGTTCCAAAACTCTAGTTTATGAGAAGCTCAAGGGCAGTTATTTTGTCTTAAATTCCATCTACTGTATTTTCCTCGTGCCTGAAACATTTAGTATGCATTTAGTATGTGTTTAAACTTGATAAGGTGTTTTTTTTTAAAAGGATGTAAAACTGTACCCCTAATCTCTCTCTTCTGTGTATGTATATACACACACATATATACCAGTGTGCTCACTAAAACATAATCATGACAATCTGGATAGTAGGATCACAGGCCTATTTTTTTTAAAGTTTTTATTTTATACATGTGTATTTTCTAAAATTTCTATGGTGTAAACATATCACAACTTTAAATTTTGATTGATTAGTAAAAAGAATATTGCTGTGACCTAAAGAATTAGCAATTGTGTTCTCTTCAGTTCAGTCCATAAAAGTTTTGGGAAAAGCAGAGGCTCAGACTTGGCCTAAACATGGTCTTGCATCTTAGGGAGGAGCGCGGAAAAGTTCTTTCCTGAAGAACGACCTGATAGGGTGTTACTTCCCAGATGCCAGGACGATGTATGAAATTTTCCAGAGAGGACTTGCTGTGTCTGGTAAGTGTGGTGATCTGGCCTTGCCTGTGAGGGGCTGAAGGTGGGGTCTGTCCCACTCTCTTTTCCCTGTCACTTCTAAAACTCCAGCTGTTCAGATATGATCCATGTAGAATTGCAGTGTAGAAAACACAGGCGACACCTGCAGTGTCAGTTTGGATGCTGGAAACAGTGTAGGACAGATACAAATTTGGAACCTACTTCTCCCATTTCCAGCTGTCTAACCTGGCACAAACCTCTTTAATTCTCTTCAGCTCTTCCTCACTTAGCACAAATAGAAGTTTCCTACCGTTTGAAGTTTAACTACAAACTGTAGTTAAAAAGTCAAGAAGACAATCCTGTGTGGCAAAGTACTTTGATTACCTTCTTACCACACTTGTTTAAGAACATAGTTTTCATAAATGTACTCCCTGCACTTACACGGGAAGAATCTGTGGCATGATGAGCAGTTGGGACCCCTGATTTCTTATCTTGTTCTCTGTTACCTCTCTGTCTTACATTGTTCTCTTCTTACTTCGTATGCTAGTATCAAACTCCTGGCCCTTTGGGCTTTGATAAGTTCATTTGAAACAGATCAAGCCTTATTATCTGTAATGTATGTCACCAAACACAATAGTAGGTGCCCACATTTCCTTTCAAAATCACCTTTCTGATTTTTCTATAGATGTTTTACTTTGGATAACTTTCTTCTAGGTACAGGTTTGCCTACTTGGCTTTTCATTCCTCCCTCCCACGCTCCTTGATGACAAAGACCATGACAATGTGGACAGCCATCTCCCATCAAGGGCTCACCATGCAGTAGCCCTGCACATGTTTTGTCTACTTAAGCTGTCCTTTATTCCAGGAGTTGCTGTTTAGGTGAGAAAATGGAGACTCAACACGTTCAAGGAGATTTCCAAGGTCATAAAACTAGAAATTATTAGAGTTAATGCTAAAACTAAGTCTGTCTGAATGATGATGATTGTATTTTAAATCAGCTCTTAATGTATTTTATAAAAGAAGTTAGTAATCCAGACAATGCAAAGCTTATTGTAAAGAAAACTTCTATTCAAGACCCCATCAGGGCTGGTGTCTAGTATTTCTGGTCCAAATTAGCATTCCTTTAGGTTCTCATGCAATATCAAGCCAAAACCAAAGCAAAATTGATTTTTTTTTTTTTTTTACTTCTCTGGGAACTTAAGATAGAAAATGGCTAAAGTAGAATTTCTTGGAGTTTCATTCATTAAACGTATGTTGTTATTATAACTAATAAGTTATTTAGCGTGTCAAATGTGACTTTTTAGAATTTTTTTTTCAATTCTAAGTTGATAATTCATTTTTTAATACTAAATTAAAATTAAAGTAGTAAGGTTAAAATAGCTTCTTAAACTGGGAACAGAGGCACATACCTGTAATCCCAGCTATTCCCAAGACTGAGGTACATAGACAATGTGGGTAACAAAGTGAGAGCCCTCCTCAAAATAAATAATAAATAAATGGCTTCTTATGCAAGGAGGCATGAGAAATTGTTTGACTATTTCTATAGCAAAGTAACACTCCTAATCCTACCTCGGATTGAATACTTAAGCCTCCATATACTCTTTTAACTCCTAGGCCAGTGATTAATCTACTAAGAATTACTAAAATATTGCTTAAAATATATGTCCCCTGGTTCTACTTCAGTTCAGAATTCCAAATGATGAAATTCCTCAGGAAGGAGAGTCCAGAAGAACATGGCGGATAGATAGCAGCAGCCTCAGAGGCTCTCTGAGAAACTGCACTTGGAATCCAGGAATGGTGCCAGGCAGGAAGTCCTAGGCAAGGGGGGATATTCTTTGCCAACCCAGAAACAAACTAAACTAAGAGAAACCAACTGGAAACGCAATTCTGGTGATACAGCAGGAACAGATAAGGTCTCAGTACGGAAGCCGGACCCCATGCTACTGGAAACTGTGATTTGAATTACCTGCAGCCGCTGTTGCATCCCAGTCGGCACAGCGGGGAGAGAGGCACGAAAGCTCAGAGAGTGGGAAGCGTTGGAAGGAGTTGGGAGCGGAACTGGCCAGGTGCCCTGCATCAACCTGTGGTGAGTGAGTGAATCGGGACCCTTCCATAAAGAAGGAGGCTTCAGCAGAGGACATACTCAGACTGGGCAGATTTCCCGGAATGCGATGCTGCAGTGATTTCAGTCACATATTCCCCCTCTTAAGTGGGATTGTTGAGGAGTGCCTGGCCTGCGAGACCCCGCTAGCCGAGACCCAATAGGCTAGCCCAACTCAGGTCCCAGCACCTGGAGGTGCACCCTAGCAATGAAGGCTTCAGTAGGTTGACCTGGAGGGGCAGGCCCAGCATAGACTGCCCAGGTCTGTGTCTCCCTGGTGCGTTGCAGTGGGTGGGAACACCTAGCTGGCACAATTCAAACAGACTGTGGCTGACAGGGGAAGAAGCTGGACCTCCTATAAACACTTAAATATAAGGAACAAAGAATATGGGAAGAGGGAGCAACAAGAAAGGGTCCTCGGCCCCCAATCCTGAGAAACATGCAATAGCAGACACGGCAACAATAGACATAAAGTGCTATCTCCAGAGCCTCATAGATGAGTTCAGGAACAAAGTTATTAATAACCTGAAAGAAGACATAAGCAGAATAGTTAGAGAAATGCTAAGCACTGCCCAAGAAAAAACAGATGGTGGAATGGAAGAACAGAAAAAAAAGGGAGAATTGTTTGATGGAGAAGATAGAGAAAACATAGAATATGTAAAGCAGGGTTCAAAGAGATTACCAGGAAACTAAAAACTCTTTCGAAAACTGGCATAACAGCTTGAAAGAAACTAAGGACAGATTATCTGAACTGGAGGGCAGATTTGTAATACGGGAGCATGAAGTGAAAAACTTCTTAAAAATAACAAAAAAACAAACAGCAACAATACAAAAACTAAAAGATGATAAGAGGATCTATAACTTAAGAATTAAGAACATAAAAAAAGAAGTGGGGACACAAACAAATGGACTACAAAAGTTATTCACAGAAATAATCCAAGAGAATTTCCCTAATTTAGCAAATGGTAAAGATACTCAGATATATGAAGCATACAGAACTCCAGCCACCTACAACCCAAACAGAGCTACACCCAGGCATATAATCAAAATTCTAGAAATCCAATATAAGAACAGAATATTAAAAGCAGTCAGAGACAAGAAACAGATCACTTACAAGGGAACACCCATCAGAATTACAGCAGACTTCTCTGCACAAACCATCAAATCACGAAGAGTGTGGGGGGAAATAATTCTAGCTTTGAAAGATAATAACCTCCAGCCAAGATTGATATATCCTGCACAACTGTCCCTAGAAGTTGATGGAAAAGCAAGGTGCTTCCAGGATAGGGGAATTTGCAACCACTAATTCAACTCTACAGAGAATACTGCAGGATAGTCTAAAAAAAGGAAAATACCAAGATTCCAGAAATAGTAGCAGAGAGGCCACAATGAATGGAGCAGAAAACGAAATGAAGAAGACAAACTGACAACAAACGACAGAAAAAGAGCTCAACAGAAATGAGGCAGAGAAGATCGGAAGGTAGGAACAGGTATTTTGGAGAAAACAAGACATCATAATAACTAGTGCTGATTTAGTATCATCTTGTTTTGAAGTCCCATCAAACTTGTATTCTTCTGTCTCCATTGGTCTTAAAAGGTTGTATCTTATTGGATTTTATTATATAATATAAGCAAAAACTTTTATAGACACGGAGTTTATATAGAAATCATTGTTCATTTTCTGTTAATTGGTTCTAAATACCCTATAATAATGTCATTCTCTTGAATGGTTTTATAGTGTCTTGATATGTGTGGTACTACGGTATAAGAAGTTATACTCAAAGATTTCAAGGAAAGAGACACTATGATAACTATTTTTATGTCAGGATATCTTGTGGTGAAACACTATTTTGCTTAAATGGTTATGCTTTGACCTGCACTGTTCTGTTGTTATGCCCTCTTTTATCTCAATCCCCTTTGTTTAATTATTTACTTTTTTCTTTTTATTTTTTTAATTAAGGGAAAAATAAATAAAAAATAGCAGGATACATTATAGTAACCTACTTTGATTTCCTATTAACTTGATTTGAAATCCTGTATTGCCCTCACCATCTTGTTTTGACTGTTTTTCCTCTATTCTGCTTTGCTTGATAGTACCAAGTTCAAAAGTATAGGCATAACTGTGAAGACAATAAGAATCATTATGATGCGCATTCCAGTTGACTCTTGTTTTCTTTTAAAATCCTGTAATGTCTCCAATGCTTTGGTTTTATTCTTTACTGTTTAGTTCAATTTTATTATAACTGCCAATTCTTCTTAAAATAGCAAGAGGCAGTATGGTAACCATTGTTGGTCACCTTATATTTTGTTTTTACATTATCTATTATGTCCATCCTTTTGATTTGACTGACTGTGTTCTGATATGTCACATTTGGTTTTACTCTCTTCAAAAAAAGTAATAAGAACTGTGGGAGTAATAAAACCCAAAATGTGTAATTGTCATTGTACAAAAGAAAAGAAAAGAAAGTGCTCTAAAGGTTATAACTGCATATATGTTTAAGTGTATAAGATAGATAACCATATGAGTGTTTTTGGATCATTGAACAAAACTGTTTGCACTCTCACTGTTTGAAGGTCCACTTTATATGCTTCAATTTTGTAACTTGAACAACTATGTCTAAGATGAGAATATGTAACCTATTAACTAGTGATTTCTTACTGTTTATTTTTTAAATTTTGTATTACTTATACCCTTTTTCTGTTTTTTTCCTTTTTCTCCTTAAATAAAAAAAAGAAAAGAAAAGAAAAAGAAAATCCTCAGGAAGTGCTAAAAATACAAAGCTTCAGAGAGTTGTTTACCGAAGTTTAAACTCCAGTTAGCTTAATGCAGCTGTTTAGCCAGCGAACTGTAAGTGGGTGGGCTCTTGGAGACCCATACCTGAGACCCAAACCAGATCTCAGGTGAACAGGCAAGGGCAGTGGTGGTGAGCCATGGTACTCATGTCGCAGCTGGCTGCCATCCCTGAAACCTCTAAAGGGTCCATGACCCCTGGCTGGCCTAATCAGGCTGAAGCTGACTAGGGAGTAGACTTGAATGAGATCTAGGCAGTTTCCCCTTTGGGCCAATTAGTTGACTTGTTCTTTGACCAGAGGCCTCTACTAGCGTTTGCATTAGTGGTGAAGTCATAAGAAGATGCAGACTATTTATTCCACATTCACCAACTCTTCCTCTTACTAGGTGAGCTTGGTTTAGCCTGATACTTCCTGATTCTTAGTACCAAAGTGGGGATGGTAATCATTAAGAAGATCCAAGGAAACTCGCAATAGGCATTCAGTAAACAGCAGCTTCCCTTAGTCACTAATGTCAAACCCCTGGAGCAGTGACTGTGGCCAACCGGCAGACAGGGACTTGTCACCCTCCAGGGCACATTACAATCCAAGACTTCATTTCAGGGGCTTTCATGCAGCTGTTTCCACAGGAAAAAAAAATAGTAACGTTTCCTGTGAACACTCTCCTCATTCACATTTCGTATCGCTTTAATCAGCATGGCTATCTCTTTCCTGTTTTCCTTCCTTTCTTCCTCCGTCACTCAATCAAGAGATTTGCTTTTCTGTTGCTGAATTCTGAGTAATCCTCCTCTAAATGCCTCCTTTTGCCGAGTCCTGACTTCCTCTCAGCAACTTGGTTTGGTCCTCTGTATAAAATGTCCTTCTTTCTCCTTTTCTAATTACAACACAGACTTCTCCTGGCTTAAATGTTGAGGAGCTCAGCCCTCTGGATTGTTTCCTAGCCTAATACCAACTGCTTCCCAAGCTTAGCTTTAAGCGATATTCTATGAGGCAGAGGTTACCAGATTCATTTTAATTTTAAACAAGACTAAGAAGTTTAGATGTTCAGAATGTAATTCTCTTACTGTCAAATATAAGAATGTGAATTGGAAAAATATCGAGGGTAAATGTGCTTGTGTGTTCTTGTCATAACTTATCTTAGAAGACAGTCACAAAGCAAAGAATATAAACAGATGAATCGTAAGAGGGAATAAAACATAACAAATAAGAGAAAAGGTTCCACTTCACTAGCTGTTAAAGAAACTCAGATAAAAGTAATAATTTTTATAGCCTATCAAACCAGAAAACATTTTTCAGAAGATATCATTTAGTACTATCTGCAAGAGTGTGATGGGACTTAACGTGTTGTTGCTGGGAGAAAAGTAAAGGATCACAACTTTTCTGCCAACCAAAGTCACCCTTTCCTTCTCAAGCTACATATGATTTTTCTAGAGTACTAGCTACATTCTAAATGTTAAGTTATGATAAAAGTATTTATCATAACATTACTAGCATCAAACATAGAAACAGGGCCGGGGGTATAGTTCAGTGGCACAGCTCCCTTCTAGCAATTGCAAGATCCTGAGTTTGATTCCCAGTAAGAAGAAGAAGAAATAGAAGAGGGAGGAGAAAGTGGAAGGGGAAGGGGAGGAGGAATGGAATGGAATGAAAACAATCTAAATACCCACAGTCAACAGAAAGTCACCTATAGTAGACCCCTTCACCAAATACTCATTGAAATCTCTACAGAGAAGAAATAATGTAGAAGTATTGTATTAAAGTGGAGAAACAAGCAGCACACCAAATTTTATTCATTTTAAATATGAGAATGAGCATAACTTTGTAAAATTATGCAAAAAAACAAAAGGAAATAATGTTAAGCATGGTATTTGTGTGGTAATAATAATGACTCATATTTTGATTTTTTTCTGTATCTTTGTGATCATATATTTCTTTATAATAGGGAAGCTTAGTCCCAGATTATTTAATACAGGCCCTTTGTGTTTCTTTGTAGGCCGTTATTTGATCACGTGATGTAGATTAGTCCACACTAACGGCTTCTTTAAGGCTCATGTTATCACACAGGTCACAGGTTCAACACTGAACTCCATTTCCTAAGTGATTCATCAAGTGTAGATTATAGGGCTCTTTGCCTTTGAGAACCAAGTATTTACTTCTCATGAATTTCTCTGAACATGTGAGAGAAGTTCAGTTTTCTGCTGGATTTATCCTCTGTGCCTTTGCCACTTTTGAACCCTCTTTATTTTCTCTGCTCCAAAAGATTTGCAACTGGAGAGATTGGAGTTGATTTTCTTGTAATGTTATGTTTTTAGACAATGGTCCCTGCTTGGGATACAGAAAACCAAACCAACCCTACAGATGGCTGTCCTACAAAGAGGTGAGTCAGGGCCAGGGTTTGAGAAAGGTTCGTTTGCTAATGTATGTAGTACACTGACCTAATTTGGTCTCCCCACCTCTTTCATTCTTTCTCTCCTGACCTCCTTCTCCCTTTCTCCCTTCTTTTCACAGGTATCTGATCGAGCAGAGTACCTGGGTTCCTGTCTCTTACATAAAGGATGTAAGCCCTCGCCAGACCAGTTTATTGGAATTTTTGCTCAGAACAGGCCAGAGGTAACCATATTGAAGAGAACAAAAGAAAATCTCCTCTGCCACACACACACACACACACACACTACTACGGCATTATGACACACACTGATGGCTTACCACAGCTGTTTAAAGATCTTTTAATCCTGTTTATTCTTCTGCTTGAAAGAGTTATAACTCAAAGATTCTTTAATTCCTGACTGAATGGTGAGGATTCTAGTCTGCATGTTTGGGCCAGTGCACAATGGGTCATTTTAAATCAAGGCGATTGTTCTATGAGGCAGATAAGGACAATTCAAATTACTGCGGAAACCAGGACCCCCACTGCAGTTGCATCTGGCCATCTTGCCCCAGTGTTTTGGGAGCAGATGTTATCAAAGCCCAGATAAATCTTTAGGCCTAACATTCTTAGGGAAAGTTTTGTATGATCTTTATGTTCACTAGAACCGGTTTCTTGAGCAAGAGTTTTAAATTAATCCCAGTAAGCACTGACTGCCTGTTCTATTTTGGCTACACCCAACCTCAGTAAGAAGAGGTAACCTTGACTCTAGTCTAGCAGTTTAGCAACACACTAGTGTGTTAGTTTGCTAGGGCAATTGTAATAAAACACACCGGTGAGGGTGCTAGGAGTTTTGGTTTCTCCTGAGGCCCCTTTCTCTTTGACTTGCAGGTGGTCACTTTCTGATGGTGTCCTCATGTGGCCTTTGCTCTGTGCATATGCATCACTGGTGTCTCTTCATTTTCTACAAAGATGACCACCCTTTTAGGTTAGAGGTGTATTCAGTCATACTGGTGTTAGGGCTTCAACATGATTGAAGGGCAGGAAGGAAAGGACACAGCTCAATCTAGTGGCTGGACTAACATTTAAGGCCACTGCTAGTGGATTCTGACCTACCTCTCGGTCACAGTTCATGCCTCCTGCTGTGTTTATGTGGTTTATCATTTCTCCTATCTTTGTTCTTTCTTTTTCTTCTTTGAATATCTTATCTATATCCATCTCCATAACCCCCCTCATTTTGCCTAAAGCAATCCCAGATAGCCTTGACCCCATCTTTAAATTTGATCTCTGCCTGCCCTAGGCTACCTGATGTTTTTCCTCTCTCTTACACATGGCTCTTACCTTGCTTTTCTGGTCTACCTTTGACTTCCAGTTGCCTTATGTAACTTACTAAGCTACGTTTTATGGTAGGATCAGTGAGGTTCCAAATGCCTGCTCTATCGTGATTTCTTTTTACATAAAATGTACCAAATAAACTTTTTTGGGGGGTGCATGAACTAAACATTCCTCGAACTCATTGTCCAGGACTTACCTGAACTTCTCTCCCTACAGTGGGTCATCTCTGAGTTTGCTTGTTACTCATACTCCATGGTAGTCGTCCCTCTGTATGACACCTTGGGAGAAGATGCCATCACATATATTGTCAATAAGGGTAAGTCTTTTCTGTTACCTTACAACTTGATTTTTTAAAGTCTTTCTTACTTTCTTCTTTTCTTTTTTTTTTTTTTCAGATTTGAAATTCCTATGGCCAGAAAATAAGTGTTTCAGTCTTTTTTCGTTCTATAGTACTTAAACTATAATTTGCAGGAATATTATTTTTTAAAAGCCCATGAGGCAAAGATATGTTTAGATTAAAGATTAAGGAGACCTAATATGACAGTATAGTTTAGAGACACTGCTAACTTACATTGGGCACTAAAAGCCTAGAGTACTTGATTGATTAAATCACAGTGGAGCCATAGATTTAATTTCTTAACCTTTGTAAATTAAAGTCAGTACAATTAACCAAAAGGCACCAATACCCATAGTGAGTCTATAGAAAAAATTGCCATTTCCAGGCCAGGGATTTAGCTCAGTGGTATAAGCACCTGCCTTGCAAGCAAGCAAGTGTATAGTCATGAGTTTGATACCTGGTACAAAAAAAAATTGCCATCGCTAGAGAAATAAATCTAAATTCAATAGGCAGCAACAGCCCTTTCATATACCAAAAAAGTTACTGCTTGTTGCTGAACTAGTAGATTGAGTACATTGATTTGAATAGTAGACACCACAGAAGCTATTTGTGCAAACACATATCAGAGAAAAGACCAATAATTAGAATCATAAAAAGGTTCCTCTACTAAAAATTCCATTTTTCCTCTTGTTTCTCTTCAACTCTCTACTCCTCTTCTCAAAATAAAACACATTGATAGGACCCCACCTCAGTGATCCATTTACATTGTCAGAATGACTTTTCTTAAGCATAAGAAATTCCATGGTTCTTTTAGAAACTACAAAATGTATGGGCAGCATGCAAGAAAATTATATGTTTTTGTTTCAGTTGAGCTTATTTATTATTAATGGAACATCTCAGGTTGTACAATATACATCTGATTTGCAGATATAATCTTGGAAGACTACTTGCTTTGAAATTTTTAAAAATCTCTTTCTACTTGAAGGGTAATCAAGAACTTAGCAGAGTAGAACATTGACTTCTGGCCCTATTTCCATTTCCAGCTGATATCTCCACCATCATCTGTGATACACCACAAAAAGCATTGGTCCTAATAGATAATGTGGAAAAGGGCCTTACCCCACACCTGAAGCTGGTCATTCTCATGGATCCCTTCAATGATGACCTGAAGGAAAGAGGAGAGAAGTGTGGACTTGAGGTCTTATCCCTCTTGGATGCTGAGGTATGGATCTGAACCTCTACTTGCAGATGGAAGGCTAGTCCAACATCAAGAGCAGTTTGCATGAAGTCTACCCAAAACACAGGGCTGCTGTGCTCCTTGGGGAGCATACAAGAGTTGAATTAGGATCACACTATGAACCTTTGAGAATTATTTCTTCAATGCAATTCAGAAACTCATGAAAAAAGTAAAGGAAAGTGCTGTGGCCAGTTGTATAGACTTCTGAAAAGATAATATCTGAATATAGACTTCAGTGCCAGTTAAGGATGTAGCTGGAGCCCAGGTTTACATTCTAGCTCACATCCAATCAGAGTCCTGTTCTAATAACCTAAGTCAGATGACAGTAGGCAAATGATTCCACATCTCCCTTTCTCGACCCAAAAAAATGGATAACAATAATCCCTACCACACAAATTGTTGGTGGAATTAAATGTGTTAGTATGTATAAAATTTCTCAGGAAACTAATATATTATAAGCTCCGACATGTTAACTATTTGTATTATTAAAGGGAGATTTGGTTGTGGTCTTCAATGATCAAACCTTAAAATTATGGTAAGAAATTTCCAAATTTGGAAATTCCTATATCTGCCCTCTTTAGGTGAATATTCTGGATAAACTTTATCCTTTTTCCTGGAATTTGCTTTGTAACTGAAAATTGACTTTGGGGGAAAATCTAGTTTGTCATTTTGATTCTATTCCCATATATCATTGTGGTATCTTTATGGACAGGGAGAGAGAGGGCTGCACTTGCCCTAAGTGTGTCCATCTCAACAAATGCTTCTCTTTCTTGGTTTCCTCCTCATGTAGAATCTAGGCAAAGAGAACTACAGAAAACCTGTGGTAAGTTTTCATCGGCCTGAATTTTTGATTCTTAGCATAGTTAACTCTCAAAGTTCATAGTATACTAAGCCCTGGTGCTTTCTCTTCCAGCCTCCAAACCCGGAAGACCTGAGCATCATCTGTTTCACCAGTGGGACCACAGGTCAGTGGCCTTGAGGACTTACAGGAGCCCCCAGTCAGCTAGAAACATAGCGTCAGTCCCTGACCACTGGTAGGCTGGTACCATCCCCTACCATGAGCCCTGACCTTAGGGGCTTGCAATCTAAAGCTTTTGAGGGTGAAATCCCAAATAGAGAAGTTAATAGACTTCATCAGATACATCAAATACCATCACACGCTATGGATTTCAGGGGTTTTAAAGATGGTGTCAGAAAGATGGTTTCCCCCTTACCCTACCACTGTCTCACTTAGACATTACTGGGATGGTTTCATTCAACCAGGGTACCTCGATGTTCATTGTAACTCATAGCTGTGTCTCAACCCTACATTAACCCATCTAGTAGAATGATCAGTCATTTTTAATGTGGCCCTGATAACCCATAAGCTACATTTATTCCAGCATGCCTGACTCATAAAATTTGTAATACCTCTAAGTAATAATTATTAGTTAGATCTGAGGTCTCAAACATGAACAATACATGGGGGTTTACTTGAATTTTCCTCTTCACCTGTGTTGCTGAGATTATGGCTGTGCCCTTGGTGGCAGTACGTCAAGGATGCATTGGGTAGTAGAATCTCTTGGGGCATTAATCATTCCTAAACAGAGGCATATATCTGCACAAAAGGACATAGAGACTGGGAAAAAAAATGCTTGATTTTTTGGAACAGAATCATTTGAATCTAGATTTTTTTAAGACCAAAGGCTGTCAATTCCCTAAAGGATCTTCCTCTCCACATATTTTCCACAGGTGACCCCAAAGGAGCTATGTTAACACATAAAAACATTGCTTCAAATGTTACTGGATTTCTCAAAAGTCTTGAGGTCAGTGGTCAATTGAAACAGAGGCTCTCATTAAAATGTGAATCTGTTATAATGTTTTTATTCTTGAAGTTAGAGGAGGCAGAGAATGAGTGGCTAAAAAGCAAACAAACAAAAAGGTTAAAATCCCAATTATGGCCCAACACTGGTGTAGTCTTTGTCTTCAGGACAATATATTTTCCAAATTTAGTCTTTAAGAATCACTGCAAATTTCTACACTCCACTGTTTAGCATATTCGTGACAAGGTCACAATTTGTATTTGTCACTAGCTCTCCTACCACCAGTGACAGATGTTGCCTGATGGGACAGTCATGCATGCACCATCAGTGAAACAAGCTGATAGGAATGTGTTAAAGTACCTCTTAGAGTTAACCAGAGAATCACATGGGGCAGCCCTGAGAAGGGGTAGCCTTTAAATCTCCATTAGAAGAGAAAGTTGGCATTAATCTACAATTGTCACTTTGTTCCCTAATCTACAGCATATTTTCCAGCCCACCTGTAAGGATGTGACCATATCCTACCTTCCCTTAGCGCACATGTTTGAAAGAATTGTGCAGGTGAGTATCCTGTGTTCCTAGCAGGTGTGTGGAAAAGGGGTCCTGACTTGCTCATCACATGCTTATTGTAAAGCCAGTAACACAGCATTCACCATCCTTCCTCGATCCAGGCATCCTTCCTCAGGTCCAGGCAGGGAGTCGACTCATCTGTACCCTAATCCTAGCAGTCCCCCAGTTCCCAGTAGAGCCTTCCTCTGTTGCATTCATATGTGCCCCTTTCCCAGGGGTGTATGACTCCACTGAGCTCACAGCCAGGATCTCATTATCTGCTTTCAGTTCTGAGCTGACTCACAAGATACCACGGCTCTCTTCGCTTTGCTTTGGTTAGAATTTTTGAAAATATTGAAGAATAGAGAAAAGAAAGTTCCCCCACAGATAGGCAGGAAAGAGCATTTGATCCAGTAAGATTCAAGGTGTTACAAACATCGATTGTCACACCATACCCAAGTGTGTAAGGTGGTTTTGCTCCCATGGTGGAGGCACCAGAGGAGAGCTGTCCGGGGCCAGTCTCCAGGCTCTTTGGCTATTCTGAGGCTAATTCAGGAACAGACTGCCACACTCACCTTTCAAAAACAGATGGTGTGATGCTAAGATCCTCTTTCTGTTTCCTCTGAATATTGCTTCATCCTGCTTATGGTTGGTTGATGCATAGGGTATTAAAACATAAGATCCTATTCATTGGTCTAAAGTGTTTGTATATGATTAATAAAAAAATTATAGTAAGTATCTAAACTCCTTAACCTTTCTGAAATTGGGATGGGCTTGCAATTGAAAGCATGTTCTAGTATAACTGACAGTGTTTTTTCTTGGTGCTATGTAATGAACAGGGTCATAAGAAAAATGATAGCTCAGACTATCACACAGAGCTATGGAGGAGTTAGGGTGGAGTCCACAGTTTCACAGTGTGTCTGATCGTCCCTGTCACTTAAGCAGAAATGCATTTCCATCCTTTCTTAGGGGAAGCTCAGAGTCTCGGGGACTAGGGTGGGGAGTTGCTGTTCAGGAAAAAGTACCTGTGAACCTCAACTCTCTACCTTAATCCTATCTGAGAGAGGCCGCATCTCAAGCCGCCTCCTGTCTCGTCTTGGTTTTAGGCTGTCGTGTTTTCCTGCGGAGCCAGGGTGGGGTTCTTTCAAGGAGATATTCGGTTGCTGTCTGATGATATGAAGACTCTAAAGCCCACAGTTTTCCCCACAGTGCCTCGCCTGGTTAACAAGATCTACGATAAGGTACACTAACCTTGCTTTCACTGGACTTGCCCTGAGAGGCAGGGGCCATCCGTGGTCTTTGCCTGTGCTAAAGCTCTGGGGGACTGTGCGCTTCTGGGAAAGAAGCCTCCCTCCTCTCCATCCTATCCTTGTAAAAGCCATATTTATAAACGCTGCTCTGATAAACCATGATAGAGGAACCCCCTTTCCGCTGGGGAAGATTACTGACCTGAGGAAGAGCTTTCAGTTCTAGACTTGGGGAGCCCCTCAATGTTTAACCAACTTACTAGGAATTTGTTGGACAGATTACATGTCTGGATTACTATGTGTCTTGCTGAGGGGTCAGGCTCCACCATAAACATTTCAGATGCATTCCCTCCCTGAATATGCATACAGATATGGCAGTCACATCAGTTCTTATTATCTCTAACTGATAATGAGGAAACAGACCCTTGGATTTGAAGAATTTTCCCAGCGGTGTATCTACTAAGGAATGGGCTAGAACCAACCGTCACATAGTAGTTTTAGCTGCCATTGTTTACAGCTCATTGTGGTTTGCAAAATGGTAGTTTTTCCATTTCTAATGCTGTAATCCCTCTTGGGTTCATTAGCTGAAATTCTACCTTAAGATCTAACAAATTTATTCTTTTTCTTAACTTTTCATAATAAAGAATTGGTGCCCTAGCAACCTTCAAAACTGGTTAGTGAAGGTTTTCTTGTATAATTATATGAATGTGGCATTTTTGTATTTGTATATTTAATTTATTTTAGTCATTCTTATTGATCTCAAATGAGCCCATCTTGGAAGTTGGGAGCTCCCATGGTGTTGCTCCTGTGTCCTTTTGATAAGATCCCAGCAGTCTTTGATAGGTTCCTTGCTTTCTGGCACAACAACATGTCCTAAGCTCATCTTACATATTTCTGACCTAAGTCCCTAGGCATGATGGCACATGCCTGTAATACTAGCTACTGAGAAAACTAAAATAGGAGGATCAGGAGTTCAAGGTCAGCCCAGTCAACTGAGTGAACTCTGCCTCAAAAAATAAAAATGAAATAAAAAAAAAAAAAAAAAAGAAGCCAAGAATGAGCAGTCCAGATTGTCTGGAGGCCCAGGAATGAAAGCATAACATAGAAGATAGCCAAAGAGGCAGCTTTCAACTTCTGAAGTAAAAAGAACTTTGATTTTCTTGAATCCAATATCCATTACAATGAAGTCTTAAAGAATGGAAGGTAAAGTTCCGGATTTAATCTTGGAAATAAAGAGATAGGGCAGTACAGGAAGTGTACTGTAGGAAGCTCTTGAGTGACAAGGGTGTGAATGATGGGTTATAGAGTCATAATAATGCCAAGGCCAGGAGAATCAGAGAAATAATGTAATCTGGAAACACAATGTCAAACTGTGAAGCCCAAAGCAGAGAGATGGTGTAGGTAGGTAAATCTATTGAATTTTTGTATGATGTGATAAAAGGTACTTCCATTATTAAGAAAGGTGGTGATTCTACAAGTTTAGTAAGTATAAAAACATCTTAAGTGTAGGGTGAGGGAGAGTTGGTAATTGTTTTAAAAAATCAGGTTCCTACGTCCTTCTACTAAACTAAAAGCCCTGGGGGGGGGTGCCCACTGAGATGTTTTTTGTTTAGTGACTTTGCTGGCAGTCTTTCTTCATCACGTTTTGCTTACCTGGGTTGTCATAGTTATTTGCTGAGAACCGGAAATCTGTATGTCTGTATGTCTACCCTATGCTTTTTTCTGACTATGCTTTCCTGGGATCATCATTATGCAAGGACCCAATTCACGAATGTGGGACATTTCCTTATGAACTAGAAAGCACCACTGCTTCCTTATTAACTTATCTCTAGTAAAGCTCCAGCTGAAAGGAACTGTCTCCCTGTAGGTACAAAGTGAAGCCAACACACCCTTGAAGAAGTTCTTGCTGAACATAGCTGTTCTCAGTAAATTCAGCGAAGTGAAAAATGGGATCATCAGGCGTGACAGTCTGTGGGATAAGCTCATTTTTTCGAAGCTCCAGGTTGGTTGGTTGGTGGGGAGGTCCTGGCTGAGCCCCTCAAATGCCAGGCTGCTCACTGTTCATCGTACATTGCTTTTCATTCATGACTGTTACTTCACCCAGAGATGCTGTGGGACTCCTGTCTACTTACATTTTGAGATTCCTTTTGTACAACTTTGCCACTAAAACAAATCGGTCTAAAAACATAAAGCAACTTATATTTAGGCAGGAGCCCTCTCTGTTATCCTCCTATATGGTCTGTTGACATTATATGCACTTTTATAATCCTCCAAACGTAAGTTTTAGAGAAATAGAAAGAAAAATATGCAAGTTCGTGTCTGAAAGATGGAATGCAGTGACTATAATAGTAAACATTTTAAATGCTTTTTTACAATGCGAGGCTCTAGTTTAAGGGTTTGTAAACTAACTAGTTTAACTCTTCCAACAACAACTATTGCATGCATTTTACAGTGGAGGAATCAGAAGCCATGAGAGTAGATTTCAGCAACTCTGTTTTGTTTTGTTTTTTATTCTACTGAACAGAATAGCCTGGGCGGGAGGATTCACTTCGTGATCACTTCAGCTGCCCCCATCTCCCTTCCAGTCTTGACATTCTTCCGGGCAGCAATGGGATGTGTGGTAAGATTTTATTTTCGTACATATAGAGCTCATATTTAAAAAATGAAAATGCAACTACAAAATACCAGTGAGAAAGACACCCAAAACCTCAAAATCAAGAGAAAATATCCTTCTAGTCACCTTTCTATGCATGTCATATCAAAATTTTTACATGAATGGAATTAGTATTCTAAAATATCCAATTAACGGTACCTGTTAACATTACTCCTTTTCAAATAAAGATCTACCTCGTTTTAGTGTTTTCATCTGTTTTGTTGAATTCATTCAAATGGTGAGTTTATTATTGATGAGCACTTAAGTTGCTTACCATTTTTCACTGGGGTGATAAGGACACTTTATATGTGATTATCAACTTAGAATAAATCCACGAAAATAGAAATTATTAAGTCAAAGTGTATATACATGTGGGTGTTTATATACTTTTTAAAAACACTTTAATGTATATTATCAAACTTTCCTCTAGAAAAATCTAGCCTTTTATACACATTCCTACAAATAATGCAAATGGCCTCATTTCTCTGCATTTTTGCTTTGTCAGCCATTAATGTTTAGTCAATTAGTTATCTCTAAATAAAATACTGTATTGCAATGTTGTTTCTTTAACACTGTGCATCTTTTCTATTGCTTATTGACATTTGTGTGTCTGTCATTAATTACTCTATTACTTCCTTGCAGTAAAATAGGCAAAGGGTGATTTGGTTCTCTTCATATTGCTTTCTAAGAATTCTTCATATAATAAATTAATCTTTGTTGTACTGAAAGTACTTTTCTTAACCTCATATTATCCCTTATATATTGCTATATAAGTTTCAAATATTTAGGTAGTCAAATTGATTAAGGCTTTCTATTTGTAGATTTTGAATTGCTTAGACAGGACTTTTTAATGCCCAATATTTCATAAGACTGTTTTCACCCACATTTTCTGATAAATGTATGGTTCTTAATCATTTTCCATTTATATCTTTGATCTATCTGGAACAGATACAGAGCTTGGGCATGGATATGAGTTTGATTCCAGATACATAAAAAATAAATAAATCAAGTATGAGCTGCTCAAGCCCTATGGCCAGAGAAGCAAGGACTCTATAGGGTTGGAGCACACTTGTTTTCCTAAAACCTTGAATTTATGCCCCAGCTGCTAAGTCTTTACAACTGAGGGTTTACCCCAAAACAAAACAGTTCAGTAAAAGAGCAAAGTACAGAAGCTTATGTGAAGAATATCACATTTTGAGTGGTTGGTAAAATGCAAGTTACTAGTGATGTGTAACCCAATGGCAACTAACCTGAACCTGGGCAATGGGGCATCACTGAAGGAATACAGCAGCAACACTTTTAAAGGAAAGTAACTCTTGCCATGGTAAAGAGCAGAAGCTGTGCTGCTGAGCTATATCCCCAGCCCCAAACTTGATTTTGAGCACATCTCTAAACTCTTCTTTGGTTTCCCAGGTGATTGAAGCTTATGGTCAAACAGAATGCTCAGGTGGCTGTACAATTACATCTCCTGGGGACTGGACCTCGGGTAGGTGCTCCGTCTTCTGGGCAGTGGTATAGTGGTTGTGAGAAATGTCCTAACTGAACTAGTACTGAGCAGTCTAGCTACTCTCAGCTGTCTAGACCAATGTAGCAAGTGTCAGGTGTCAAGTTTTGAGTCCACACTTGCCTATGTTGACTATTCAGCAGTGGTACCAAGTGATTTTTCCGTCCCATTTTCTTTGAGTTGGTCCATAAATATCTCAGAAATATTCCTGGAAGTTTCATGGCTTCCTAGCAGCTTCAGCATGTTATGTTCTAGGTCATGTCGGAGCTCCCATGTGTTGCAGTTATGTGAAGCTGGAAGATGTACCTGACATGAACTACTTTGCAGCGAACAACGAAGGGGAGGTGGGTAGGACATACGATGGGGTCAGATAATCATGATGGGGTGGGGGTTCAGAGGAGAAAAACTCAGATCTGTAAGGAGGCTTATGTTTGCTCCCTTGAGATATCTGACATGAAGTGACTTATCTCTGAGCCTAACTTTTGTGTTCCCTACAATGGAACTAAAATATAGTGTTTCTCATACTGTGGTGCAACCCAATGAATGGATACAGTAAAAACAGGTGTCTTGTAAATTGCCTTTTCTGGAAGAATCAGCCTTGCTATTGTCACCACCTCCTCCTTTCTGGTATACAGATCTGTGTCAAGGGTCTCAGTGTGTTCCAAGGATATCTGAAAGAGCCCAAAAAGACACAGGAAGTCCTGGACAAGGATGGCTGGTTGCACACTGGAGACATTGGTTGCTGGCTTCCAGTGAGTATTTCTTCGTAACTCCCAGAAGTCTTTGCTGCAGATTGGAGAGCACGATCTGACTATTGCAAGAGAAAGAAAAACTGCAAGTAGATAATCAGCAAGGTGGCAGGAGGGGATTAAGTCTTTATCCTACCTGGTGGGTGACTTTTTCCTCCTGTAAAGAGAAGAACGCAGTCATTGAAAGAAACTAGGCTGCAGGTTGGGAGATCTGGGTTCTGGTTATAGCACTTCTGTGAACCAAAATGTGAAATCTTCAGACAGTAGATTGATGTGTGATCTGGAGCTGCCAAAACTAGAGAAGCTTTCTTCTTCAAGGCCAGAGTACTTTTACTACTTTGACCACAATGTTATAGAAGACAAGAAGCAGGCCAGCTAAAGGGTTTTCTTCTTTTCTTGTTCATTCTCAAGTACAAAGTCAGCAGTAGCCAATAGGATGGGCCCTGTTTCCTGACCTAAACTGAAGGTGGGATTCTTTGAAAGATCCGTAGTCCTGAACGGAATTGGTATGGATTCCTTGTACTGGAATAGATTTATTCACAACAGGGGGAAGATTGGTGATTTCCCTGAGAAAAAGTTGGGAGCTATAGATGTCAGTTCTCTTTTCCCCTCTTCTTTTTGTTTTCATTTTTCTTGAGGCAGATAGCAAGATTTGGTAATTCCACATACCCACAACTTTCATCCTGTATGAGTTTCAAAGAGATATTTTTTTAACAATCATAAAGATACATCAAACAAGGAAGTCGGATTTCTAAACCAAATGTTTGCAGAGGCTAATGTTTACCTGCCAGTGGCCTTCACAGCCTCTCCCCATTGTGAACACAAAGCTTTTTATGCCTTTGCCTGCTGATAAAGAATTACCAATAGGTGCTGCCGACCCCATCATTTTTCCCAGGAAGAAAGGAAATTACAGCACGGTAGTGGGGAAGCCTTCAAGCTCCCACAGGGATTTCTTTCCGAAGGGTTTCCTTTCTCAGTAGTTTCTCTGAGGAGTGAGGCAGAGTAGTGTACAGGTGTAGTTCCAGTTTCTCAGGCTGATGGAGGATTAGAAGTTCAAGCCATGGCTGGGCAACTTAGTGAGATCTTGTCTGGAAAGAAAAAAAGAGTACTGGAGGTAGAGTTCAGTGTGTTGGCCATGTGTTTAATGCTAGTACCACCAAAAGGGGTCTTTCTTACTATGTGCTAGGAGAGTGGGAATGTAAATAGGTCTTAAAACTTCTTTCCTGCTCAGTTCAAAATTTAACTGAGATTCAAAGAATTCTTGCCAATGCCATCTTCAAGAACATAGTCCTAATGACACTACTGTTCATAGATTTTGGTCTCATTGTATCTTGGTAACACGTTTTTGTAATAAGTGTCCCTGCTCTCATAAACTGAGGATATAGGTAATAGATCTGTCCCCTTACTGGGGTTATAAAAGGCCACTCCTTATTCATAACCTTCAGACAAGGTTAGGCTGAACTGATGAGTCAGCCTTGATGGTTCCAGGGTTGGTTCAATCTGTTGCCCCTACTTATAATGTGCTCATGTGGACTACATTTGCTGCTTGTCCCGGTTCTACAATTTAAATCCCTAAGAACATAAGCTCCTTAGGGAAATTAAGCTCAGGGGAACAAAGTTGTGAATGACCTCTGGTGACTGGTCAGAGAGCCTACCCATCCCTGCTTCTGCCCTAACAAGCCTAGCTACTGGCTTGACCAATTAGTACAGTGGAGCTGTTTCAGGGTCTATTAGGAGGGAAACTGGGGAATCAAAGAAGGGAAGAGCTAATTTAAAAGTCTTAGGAAGAAGTTTTCTCTGTTTCAGAGTTTTCCAGAAGGAACAATTACAAATTGATTTTTTAACATTTCTTTTTAAAGAGAATCAAATCAAACAAAATAAAACAGAATAGGGGCTGGGGATTTAGCTCAGCGGCATAAGCGCCTCCCTTGCAAGCAGGCAGTCGTGAGTTCGATCCCTGGTACCGATAAAAAGGAAAAAGACAAATAAATAAATAAATAAATAAATAAAACAGAATAAAGTCAATTAAAACAAAACAATGAAAGTGATACAGGACTTCAAAACAAGATAATAGGAAATCAACAATGGCTACCATAATGCTTCTTGTTATCATCAAAATAGTTGCCAATATCATCAGATATAATAAAGTCAATCAAAACAAAACAGAATAAAACCAATCAAAACAAAACAATGAAAGCAATACAGGATTTCAAAATAAGATAATAGGAAATTGACAATGGCTACTATAATATATCTTGTTATCTTCAAAATAGCTGATGATACCATCAGACATAATAAAATCAAATAAAACAAATGGAATAAAATCAAAGAAAATTAAACAGTAAAGATGATACAGGGTGTCAAAACAAGATAACAGACTATTACGAATGGCTACTATAATGCCTGTTATCTTCAAAATAGTTTTCCAGACCATCAGACATAGGCATGTAAAATTAACCAATCATTATGAGAACAATGTTGCTTCTTTACTTCAGTTATCACCTTTCCAGAAATTTCAGGACTGTGACCTGTAGTTCCTTCTATGTCTGTGTCTCCTGAACTTGTTCTGGAGGTCTGAGATTATATTTTGCTCCTTCACTTTGACATTTTTCTGTGTTTCCTCTGAATCAGCCCATTGCTGCATCCCAGGTGCTTTCTGCATTTGCTGCCAGTCCCTCAGTGCAGGGAATTGGACCAGGCACCTGGGTTCCTCCAATCCAGGGTTCCCGGAGTGGTAGAGAGGCATGGGGCAGTGAATAATAGATGCTCCCCTCATGGTGATTCAGTGGGGCCTTGGAGCATGACTTCTTTCTATCAAGTCCATTTGTTCACAGTTGGTTTTGTTTTTATGTTTTTTGAGACAAGATTTCACTATGTAGTATAGGCCAGCCCTAACTCACTTTGTAGCCTAGGCTGGAGTTGAACTCACATCAATTCTCCTGCTAGGATTACATGTGTGCACCACCACACCCAGCTTAAATTATTGGAAATTGAGAAGCAACTATTTACATAACCTCAGCAGGTTCCAGAGACTTTTTCTGAGACTTTCCATGGACATTCAGTATAGACAGATTCTTACTCTTGAGGAATTGATTTTATTTTAATTTCAGATGGGAAGTTTATTTTTTATTAGTACACGTGTATACATAATGATCATATTCTTCATGGGGAGTTGGTACATGTACATAATGCATTCCAATTTTTTTTTCATTCTTTTCTCTCCCTTTCTTCCCCCTCTACTGTCTCCTGGTCCCTTTCTCTTTTGCAAAAGATCTCTCTTCCTGTTTCCTACTATCTATTTTAATTTTGCTCTTTATTTAAATTTGGGGTTTCTCACATAAGTGAAATCATTCAATATTTAAGTTTCTATGTCTGATTTACTTTATTAATATTATGATCTCAAGGAGTGTCCATTTTTTTTTATGAATGACTCAAGTTTAAACTTCCTTATGGCAGTGTAGTACTACATTGGGTGTAAATGTCACAGTTATCCATTCATCTGCTGATGGAGATACAGGCCATTTCCAAGATTTACCAATTATGAGTTTTGCTGTTGTAAACATGGATATGCACATATGACTGTAATATGATATTTTTTAATTCTTTCCAGAAGCTATCTAGAAGTGAAATAGCTCAAATGGATTATCTCTTTTCAGTGTTTTGGGGACTAGAACCATTTGGTTACAAAGTCTGTCTTTCCTCTATCATGTGTCAAAGAGCAATTTCCTGAATGTGCCTGGGGTTCTATGTCTCTCTTCTGTTCCATTGATCCTCAGGTCTGTCTTTGTGCCAGTGTACCATGTTATTTTTTAAAATTCACTATGGTTTTGTAATATAACTTGAAGTCTGGAATTGTGATACTTCTTGCTTTGTTCTTGTTGCTCAAGATTGCTTTTACTCTTTTTGGGTCTCTTCTGGTTCTATATAGGTTTTAGGACTTTCCCCCCAAGTTCTTTGAGGAGTGGTACTGGTATTTTGATTGGGATTGTGTTAAATTTGCATATCAGTTTTGGAAATGTGGCCACTTTGATTATTGTCAAGAATGGGATATCTTTTGTTTTCTGATACCTTCTTTGATCTTCTTTTCCAGAATACTTTAGTTTTGTTGTAGAGGTCTTTCATTTCCTTGTTAGTGTTAATTCCCAAATTTTTGACTTTTAAAATATTATTTTGAATAGTATTGTTTCCTTAATTTCATTTTCAGTGAGTTCATCATTGATGTACAAGGACAAGGAATTAGGTTCGGCATGTAGCTTAACAGCACAGAGCCTGCCTGGCAAAGGCAAGGGCCCACGTTGGATTTCTTTTTTTCTTTTTTTTTTTTTTTTTTTAAGCCAGGGATCAAACTCATGACCTTGTATTTGCTAGGCAGGAACTTGTACTGGTGAGCTAAATTCCTAGCCACTCTCTCCCCCCTGCCCCCGTTTGGTTTCTAAAAAAAAAGAACAAGGAATCAACTTTAAGGCAAGATTGTACCTCTGACTTCCACAAACTGCCAAAGGATACCACTCCCAGGGGTCAAGATACTTAAGCTTTTTATCTGCCTCATATAGAATGGAACTCTGAAGATCATTGACCGGAAAAAGAACATTTTCAAGCTGGCACAAGGAGAGTACATTGCTCCGGAGAAGATAGAAAACATCTACACCAGGAGTGGTCCAGTGTCACAAATTTTTATTTATGGGGAGAGCTTACGGGTAATGTACTGTTTAACAATAACTATTCTGAGGGACAGACCATGCTTGCTCCTATAGCTACAGGGAATTTGGACAGGTGGTTTCAGGATGAGAAGATCCAGTTTAAAGACTAACAAAAATACAGCTACATTCTGAATCTCAATAAGACAATATTAATGAAAAAATATTTTTTGAAGCTGTGATGAACTTTGTAAACAAGTCAGTAGAATTGTTGAAATAGCTCTACTAAAAGCTAGCTTTTATCCTATATCACAGCCCACTTTGCACTTAGTTTTGACTCCAGGAATTTCCCTGGAACAGCAAACTTGGTTTTTCTTTTTTTTTTGGTGGGACGTGTGTGGTAAGAATGTTGAGAAGGAAAGGCCAAAGGTCCTTTATGCTTATGACTACCCGCTGTTTGAAGATTCATATTGGAAAGCACATCTTTCCAATGATGTGGAGTGGGACGATGGCATTGGAGTTTTATAGAGCTTTGGAACACAATGAGAAAGAGAGTTGGACACTAGTTACTCTGAAGCTTTGGGGTACAGTCTATGAGAGGGATGTAATCTAGTTAGCTTTCCCCACTGCATGACCTCCTCGCATTGGTCCTTTCATGCCCTTTTACTTTTTGTTTCCTTTCCACAGTCATCCTTAGTCGGAGTGGTGGTTCCTGACCCAGACGTGCTTCCTTCATTTGCAGCCAAACTAGGGGTTAAGGGATCTCTTGAAGAACTGTGCCAATCCAAAGTAAGTCTGGTTTAGAAAACCTAATGCAAGGCCACTGGCCCATCAGGAGAGAGAGGAGGTGCTACCAGCTAGGGCGTCTTGGGGTTCCTGGAGCTTCCTCCGTGGAGGCGTGGAATTTTCCTGTTTCTGTGGCTTATAACTGCAGCCCAACTAGACTGAATAGTTTTGTTAGCCTGTGAGATAGAAGGAGGAATTTAAGAACAAAAAAACCCTCTCTTCTTTTTATAGTAATACATTCCTTATAAGAAACAAGAGAATTGGAAGATAGAAGAAACATCACTCAGAGAAAAATCCCTGTTAACATTGACATTTGCATTTTCCTGTTTTTCTTTTGGTAAATGTAAGGTGGATAATGTGATTATACATACTTTTATATCTGCTTTTATCCTAGTCATTTTTAATCCCAAGAATTTTCTGTTGGTTCATGCTTAGGCTTTCATTTAGGGTCTATTGTAATTGGCCACATTTTAAAGGATATTTTGTGTCTTAGGTTGTAAAAGAAGCCATTTTAGAAGACTTACAAAAAATTGGGAAAGAAAATGGCCTTAAATCCTTTGAACAGGTATGTATTATGGATGTTAGCCTGGTTAACTTATCATACTAGAAAGTTTTATTTAAAGTTTCTATTCCTAAAGGAGTTTAAGTAGATAATCTGCTAAGAACTGATTTTAGATTTTGTACTCTTACCCACAAGAGGTAGTAACTTTGTAATTAGCTACTTTGTCCCTTTGTGCTATTCATTATCCATTTTCACTATTTATTTCTCTCTCAAATTACAAGCATGAAAACAGCACAGTTACTGTCATTACCCTCCACTGTGGCAAGCTCAGATTCATAAGGTGAAATATTCTTTGAAATTCTTCAGTGTGCTCAGAGGGCCATGCAGAAAAGTTCAAATCACTAATAAACATGTATGTGTGTGTTCTATTTACCTTCTAGGTCAGAAACATTTTTCTTCACCCAGAAGCATTTTCCATTGAAAATGGACTGCTGACACCAACACTGAAAGCAAAACGAGGAGATCTCATCAAATACTTCCGGGCCCAGATTGACCGCCTCTATGACAGTATCCAGGAATAGGGTAAGGCATTTAGGGCAGGTGGGGATCACAGCAGCCTGGTTACCCACTCTGGGCTGCTTTCTGAAAATCTGGATTAAAACCTATTCTTCCATTCATTTTATCATTCCTCCTATTGTTGTTTTACTTACAGAATTACCAAGCCCTAGCTTTTAATACTTATAGTGCAGTAGCCTAGCCCTGAAATAAATCCTGCTCTTCCCCTCTTAAATGTTGCTGATGAAAAGACTATAGAGGGCTACTTTGATCAACATGCACTCTTGAAGGCCCTAGTTTTATTCTGTAGCCCTTCTTTACCATCTCCAACTTAATGTTTTACGTGTGATGCCCTAGTTCTAGGGTCTAAGACAGTGATGATAAAACTTTTAAGAGATTTCAGGGATAAACAGCTGCAGCACGTGCCATAGGTTTGTCACTACTGGTCTAAAACATCCATTGTTTTTTACTGGTTTTACAGTAAAACCTAGTTTGTCAGCAGGCCTTCCATTTGCCTACGCCTTTTAGCGTTAGGTCAAGAAATCTTTTTTTTTTTGGTCTTTTTCATTTTTATCGGTACCGGGGATCGAACTCAAGACCGCCTGCTTGCAAGGCAGGTGCTTATGCCACTGAGCTAAACCTCCAGCCCCCAAGTCAAGAAATCTTTAAGTTCTGAAAAGCTGTTTTCAGTTCATGTTTTCTAGTTACTTCATAAAGCCATTAAAATTTTTGAGTTTTTAAAAATAATTTTCTTGGTACAGTTTAAATTTTTTTGTATTTTTAAAGAGAATAAAAAAATAAGAATACAGAATTTCGAAACAAGATAGGAAACTAACAATGGTTATTGTGTTGCATATTGTTATCTTCACAATAGTTGCTCAGATAACCTGTCATTCATAGGTCTCTGAGGCACCTGTCTATGTACTTCTGTGTACAGTACAGTCTATGTATATAATGGAAAGTTGATTATACCAAGCAAATCCTAAATTGTCTAATTAGATCTCTGATTTGGGAATATTAGAAGTTGGATCTATGACATGTCCAAAAAGAATGCTACACTTAAGTGTTACCTGGATGGGAGATGTTGACCAAATCTGTTCTTTACAGTTTGCTGAACTGGAAGCTGTGGGCAAGGAGTTGAAACTTATGTCCAGTTACTTTTTCCAGTAAATGAAGCAAGTACTGAATAAAACCTCCCTGCACTAGGAACAAAGATCTGGGGCAAACATGCTGTCCATACTACACCTTATCTTCTGTGAAGGAACCAACTGATTTTTTCCACTGGATTCCAGCTACCACTGTGCCTTACTGCCAGATAATACATGTTGCTTCTACCCGTACATGTAAAACCCTTAAATAAACTATTGCAGCTATGTGGTGATGTCTGTTGCCTTGTGAACTTTGATGAGAATCAGTCTTAAAAAAGGATCACTTTAGTTCAAAGTAACTAGTGATTCTCAAATCTGCCCGCACACTAGAATTTCCTGGAAGTTTAAAAAGATACTAATGCCCAGGTGCTGTGCCAGGGACTTTGAACTAATTGGCCTGATGTACAACCCAGGTATGAGAATTGTTAAAGGGTGTGGGATTGCTAAGATGAGTGTAGTATACAACCATGTTTGATAATTATGAAACAAGACATTGAATCAGTCTTCCTTACCCCATCGCTGTGATAAATACCACTCAAGTCAAATGCGGAATAATTTGTATTTTTTGTACCACCTCATTGTAATTTATCCTTGATTAGCCTGTCTTTCAGACTTCTAATTAAAGATAAGAATATTCTAGGTTGGTCTTTCTAGACTTTGAGGTTAAAAAAGCTGAAGAAATAATCTCTGCTTGAGTTGGAAACAGAGGGCAGAATGCGTTGGGCTGTGAGCCGGCTTCCTCTCACTGACTTCCCTCCGTTTCCCCCTGCCTCACTCCAGCCCATCCTGACTACTCTTCTTGTCCCTCACTTATGCCAGGTGCACCCCAGCTTCCTTGTGTTCTTGCTGCCCCTCTGCCTAACACGCAGATACCCTGAAAGGCACAGGACTTGTTCCCTCAGTTGCTTTAAACTCCAATCATGCATATCCCACCTTCTTCACCGTACATGACTCCATCTGACCCGACTTGTCTGTCTGCCTCTTGGCCCACTGCAAGAAGGCAGACTTCTGTTTCATTTTTCATTCACTGCTGAATCTTTATGTGGCCTTTACTACCTATTCCCAAGTCTTACAAGACTAGCAGCCAATACATAAAGTTCCTTGTCTTGGGAGGAAGCAAGGAATACTGGGCCAGTTTAGTGTAGTTCAGAGAAACAGGCATTCTTCCTTTTATAATTATTTATGTATATGCTGACAAGCCTGGCTGTAAGCATCCAAGTCTACCAGCATTGATCCCACCATTCAAAAGCTTGGTTTTGGGGATTTTTTTTTTTTTTTTTTTTTGGAACTGGGGATCAAACTCACAACCTCATGCTTGCCAGGCAGCTATTTCCCTGGCCTGAAAGCTTCAGTTTTTGATAGAATCAAATGTACATAAGATGCCTGTTTTCCGTAAGGTGGCAGGGCAGTTTTTTCATAAGGACCTAAGATAAACCTTTTGGTCAACAAAAATAAAAATGTATTAAGTGAAAACTGTGACTTCTCAGAACATCCATTGATCTTTATTTGATTTGACAAAATCTGCATTATTAAAAGACAAGTAACAAAATTTGAGCTCATTTTGAATCTGACAAGTTCTTACAGTTTGTAGAATATTTAAGAAGCATCAACTAAGATGGACACAAGAAGTATCACATGCAGACGCTCCTGGCAAAGGGGAACTATATCTGCAGGTGAAGTCCACAGTATGCAGTACATAAAGAAAAACCTAGAGGAAATGCCATTAGCTACTAGGGTGAAATGTTTTTCCTTTGGTGGGGAGGAAGAAGTGATAAAAAGGGGCAGGAATTCAAAGGCATACATAGAATGGCTTCTCCATTCCAAATTAGGTAATAAAAATATTTAAATCATAGCAGTAGGGCACCTTTGAGGAAAAGAGCATCTTAACCAGAGAAGGCTTGTTGCATAATTCTTCAGTAATATGTATGGTTTTCAAGTAATGAAGCAGAATTAAAGAATAATCTCATTTTAACAGTAGCTATCTGTTTTTCTTCTTGCCTTCTGGGGTTGAATCTGTTTCAGTATCACAGGGACATTTTTCCACACAGTTTCTAGGGAACCATCCTCTTATTCTTGACACACCTAAGGGAGAAAATTAAATTAAGATGCAATAGTATGATGTACTACAGTGACATTACTGGGACCAAGAAGATCTCTTACTTCAAATTAATAACCCACCTATGTACCCTTTTTGCATATGCACAGCTTGAGGAGGGGGAAAAGCATGGTGCAGAAAGACTTCTGACAAGACAGAAAACAGACAGATCCCAATTCCATTATTTGGGAGGTGGATTCATGTGGTTCACAACAGTGCCCGACTGGAGTATTCACTTACAGGTGCATGACCATACAAAGCACTTGGGCACACCACACAGTGCAGCTCTTCCAGGGGAAGAGCTCCCTACAGTCTTTGGGACTTCCCTTCTTAGACTTTTCTAATAAATATACACCATGATTGCCTTAGTTATCAATGGGGTTCATTTGTGATTAACTTCCAGTGTTTTTCAAAGAGTATCCTGGGTTCATCTTTAAAAAGTAGTAGTTCTAAATTTTTTCTTTAAAAAAGAGAAAAAGACCAAGAATATTTCAGTCCACTAGTTTTTAGAGTAACAAGAGGGCTACTCACTCAAAGGAGAAATGTGCAATACAGGAGCGTGGCGCACAGAGCCTAGTCAGGCTGCTTGGCTTTATGCCCTGGTCTACCTGTTTTTGCTGTTTGGCCATGGACAAGCTGCTCAGCCTCTCTGTGCTTCAGTTCCCTCACCAGTGCAATGTAAATGACAGCACCTACCTGACAGGTCTGCTGGGGACTTTAATACTGTAAGTTAAGCACTTACACAAGTGCCTGTCATATAGTTAAGGAGGTGCTCAAATGCTAGCTATCACTGTAAAGAGCTGGGAAGAACAAGTACAATGGAGAAAGACATGCGTTTCTTTTTCCTGCTTAAGCAGGCGCCTTGCTACACAGTTTTCTCAATGCATTTGATTACATGTGATTATTTACACAAGTCATTCTGGTAAAATTTGGAATTACTGCTAGCAGTCTTGTACTTGAAACATACCCTTCCATTTCCATACCTTCCATAAAGGAATCATCAAGAATTTTGTCTCCATATAACCAGTATCTGAAATATTTAAAAGATTAAATTTAATTTTTAGGCTAGACACTAATTTTGTCATTTAAGAAACACAGTATTTTCTATCGCTTACCGTAACCCTCTTGTGGCTAACACGAACTCCCCTCTGCGTAGCTGTATACGAGGTTCTTCAGTGCAAGGGCTCGTGAAGAAGGTTTTGACTCCTCTATTCAAAGGACAACAGGCACCACTATAATCTTCTATTACCTTATAGCGAACCTGTCAGCAGCAATCAGAAGAAAAAACTGAATTAATTACCCATAATACCTGAGTTCTAAGTTTGAATTTAAATTTTTAATGGTAGATCCAAGTGTTCAGTGCCAAACCTCCCCTTCTACTTCTCCATCCAACCTCTTTTCCTGCAGGAGGTGAGTGATCTTTCTGGTTTTTTTTTTCCTAGTTAAAGAGTTCTTTTAAGAATTTTTTTATTAGTTCGTTTATGCAGTATACAATGTCTACACTCCTTGTGTGGAGTTGGTACATGTATATAGCACATCTTAACTCCTTTTTCATCCCCTTCCCCCTCACCTCATGTCTTGATCCTTGTCACATCTGAGAAAGATCTATCTCCCTACTTCCTACTATTTATCTTTTGTTTTACTCTTGATTTATAATTTGGGTTTCTCATCTAAGAGAAACCATGTGATATTTAAGCTTGTGTGTCTGATTTCTAATTCATACACTTCTTTTTACCCCTCATTTCAAGCATCAGAATTAAATTCCAGAGCAGTTCTGTGCAAGGGAACTATGGATAATGACGAAATATTCTATAGTTCACATCCATAGTATTCAATGGGTTGCCATGGGACTCAAGTGGCTACTAAGCACTTCTAATGTGGTCAGTACAAATAAGGAACTGATTTTTAATCTTACTTAATTTCAACTTAACTAGCATTGATGCCTAATGGCATCATATGCCACAGGAGGGCTGAAGGGTAGGCTTTATCTTAACAATCTATATTGAGGACATTTTTCTATGTTGGCAATATAAATCAACTAAATTCTCTCGAGTCCAAACTATTTAAATGAAAATAAAAGTAAACTCTATTCAGTTTCAACAAATGTATTAAGAATATTATTTGATAAAAGCCAACCACTGGTTCCTATGCAAAGGCAACTTTAAAAATTACACAGAAGTATCTAGGCTGATAAAAAAATAAGCAAGCAATATCACTGTAAAAGAATTACTTACACTTCTGACTCTTTTATCTGCTTTTTGTTTCAACTGTTCTATCTGTTTGAAAGACACAAAAGAAAAAAAGTAAGCCCTTAACACCGAAAAACAACCTACTCTATTCTACTATGATTAACATGACATACCCCTGATTTCCCAGAATTTCAAAATGTTGACAACTTTAAGGCCACAGTGTTTCTAGCATGAAAAGGTCTGTGGCTAGAAACTAGGGCTTTACCCTCAGAACTCACTCCATAACATCCTCACTGATGTGTATTCTCATAGCACTCATGGGGACCTGAAAGCCAGGGACATGTGTTCTCTGCCCTCATGAAGCCTCCAGGCTAGCAGTGCCCAGCGCAAAGATGCTGAGATGCACTGATTCTCTAACACAACAGACAAACTGTGAAACTTACTACAAATGAATCTTAACTGAGCAGACTTTTAACACCTTTTTTCTCTTAGTCAGCAACTATTAAACAGTACCATTAGACACAGTAGAAGAAATGAGTATCATACATGGTCTCCATTCTGCAATCTTCCAAATTTACACTAAGACACAGGGAATAAGAAAAATAAAAACAGGAGACCTCATGAGCTATAGACAATGGTACATAGCTAGAGTCCTACACAGATGAGCTCACAGAGGGCAAGCACATTATATATATAGGACAGGTGGGCCTGGAAGCGGTTGGAAGGACAGATAGAAAAGTCCCACGAGGTAGAGAAAAAACTGGGTGGCAGGAATGTATAAAGAAGTTTATATGACTGTAGTTTCGAAGGTACTTTAAGCCAGATTCTATAAAACTAATTCAAAGAGTCAGAACTTTACCATAGAGGTCTGGGGATTTTAAGAGAGGGTTAAATACAGAAGATGTAAATTACAAGAAGTATTTTATGA